ACAAATAGATCAAGGTTTAGAAGAAAGCATCAGGATTCAAGCACTGAAAGATAATCCAAATCCGATGCTGGGCATATTTTCTCTTTTCCGAGAATGAGTTATTCACGATATTAATTTTGTGCCCTTCATGTAATATGATCTTCCAACTCAGGATGCTGACCAACATGATCTTCCAATCTCTCCTCACAGTAAATTATACATCAAGCACGATCCTCTTTATCCTTATGATGATCCTCAAACAATCATCAGGACAGAGCGTGAGAGATTGAGAACCTTTTATTCCATTAACGCACGTACTCAAAAATAAGTGTGGCCTCAGAAGAGGATTACTAAGATCGTTGGATTCGGTATCAAGGTTAAGAGCAAGTTCAATCTCTACTGTATGCTACACAGATACTATGTCTCTCGGAATAAAGAAGCAACCATCACTCTCACGGATTACGACTTTCCCTCAACCAACCCCACTGACATTCACACCATTACTGCTCATCTGCGAGAACGCAAAAAAAATCACTCAAGCAATGGAGCTTATAGTGATGCAATCAATTTCTTGAAGGACTACGTTGCGGAATTCTGCATGACTGACACTGAATTTTCTCACTTGTTCGGAACAGAGAATATTTTGGCGAAAATCACTTACGAACTGTCTAAAGCTCAGATTTTGGTAGAAGGACCCATTGAAGAATCGGAACTCGGATATGTCTATCTCAAAAACAAGACCAACCGTAATAATTCTTTAGTGTTCTTGACAAACATCTAGTTCCATCAAAGATCCTTCAGAAGTTCATCTCCAATGCTGCAAAAAGTGATGATCCTGAGCATGTGAAGAAGAAGTTCATCAAACACCTGAAATGGTACTTGGAAGTCCGAAGCTGGCTACAAAGTACCTATCTCTGTGTGTCTGATGAATCCCACTGAGTTGATTGATTGCTAAGTTCACTTAGGGGGAAGATTGTTGATGCATAAAAATGAACCTCTAGCAATCCGAGCCAAACCAGATCCGAAGTCAATGAAATACGAGATTTGAAGAGTTCCGAAGTCAGTCTTCTTCCGAGATGAAGACATTTCCAAGACATTCCGACTCTCTTCTTCTTCTTTCTTTTACCATAAAATCGTAGCTTCATATGCCCTTCTTCTTGGCTTCTCTTTTGAAGATCACTTCCAAGTATTGGTGATGTAAAGTGCTTCTCCTTTAGTGCTTAATTATATTAAACGCTTAAAGTGTTAATAAGTACTTTATACAAGATGGGAACTAACATTCCAAGTGTCTTACTCTTGATGGAGGATACTTGTAGACAATATCATCCTCTTTGATCTTTCTATATTCATCAACATCCCAAAACCAAGTGTGTATAAAGGCTTCAAAGGTTGCCATTCTAAAACACTCTATGATTGTTTTTAATGTCATTCTAACCTCTATAAAAGGATCCTTGGTGGTTTTATTTTTGAAATATACTAAAAAATTACTTGTGAATTTTTAAAGCTTCCGTTCCAGTTTTTATGAAGAATCACTCCTATATTTTGTATCTAAACCCATCAAAGGTGACTTGGATATCGGAGCCTCAAATAGAACTAGATCAATCCAAAACTCCACCCGCCTCTCAGGAGGTACTCCCGGAAAATGCTTAGGAAAACACGTCAAAAAATCTCGAACAATAGGCATACCCTCGGTAGACTTCTTCCCCCAACCCGTGTATCAAAAACATAAACCCAAAACCTCAAACATCCATGCTACAAGTATCTCCTAGCTCTCGTAACTGAACAAAAGCAGGAACACCTCAGGCTCCCGCACCATGAATGATTGATTCTCCCCTACTTGGAGTTCAAACTCGAACTAGCTGATATACACAATTGATCATAGCCCCGAATCGGCATAACCAATACATGCCCACAATGGTCCTCGCTCCCCCTACAGAAATAGGAAAAAGGACCGAAAAAATCTCCAATACATAATCTCGGTGAACCCTCAAAGTACTCACAGGGCGGTCGTCGACGATATCTACCTCCAAAGGGAAATCCAGTGCCCCTGGAACAACAACGAATTTCTTGCTAAGGGTAAGAGACAAAATGATCGGGTAGCACCAGAATCGAAGAGGAAAAGAGCAGGCATACCATTGACTAAGAAAATCCCTAATCACATCATGAACAAAAATAAGCATAAATAATGAAACAGTAATAAATAACTAGGAATCCATACCAATGATGACATCTTGCACTGCTCTGCCTCCTCAGTCGTCAAGTAAAAATCTCTTCTCTTCACCACAACAACCGTCACCTTTGCCCTGGTGGCCGTCAGTGATCCTCAAAGTAGCTAGAGCGGGTTCCCTCACCGCTCTGCCAGATAAACTCGGCCAATCGTCCTTCTTGTGGCTGACTTGATTGCTGTGGAAACATATCAATGCTCCACCAGTGCAATACCTGCTCATATGTCTTTTATCGTTAAGCTCCTAATAATGAGATCCTCAATTCTCATTTAGGTTGTGTCGACTTCAAATCAATCCATCTAAAATTCGAATTCCGGGTTGTGCACTGCTATGCTAAATCTTAGAAAAATCATAACTTCCTCATACGAAGTAAGATTTGGACATTCTTTTTATGCACGTTCTCGGTTTAACATATACTACAACTTTAGTTTAGATCTCTAAGGCTAAAAAGTAATTTATCAAAACTTCACTTTTTACGTTACGCGGTGCCGTGTCGGTTTTGCCGTAAAACTTCGATGGGTCATAACTTCTTCGTTATAACTCGGATTTCGACGTTCTTTATATGTACGGAACCCTTGTGACATATACTATAACTTGGTTAAGATTATTCATTCTAAATAATCTTCCATCAAAAACTCATTTTTGACGTTTATTGTCTCTAAATTGACTAGCCCGAATCTGCGGGCGTTACACCTAGTGTCCTATATAGTATAGTGAGAAAAATCATGTGATCAGTGAGTTCTAATCCTCTAATAAAAAATCTCATAGAATCTGTTACACGAACCTCCAAAACATTCACAAACCAAACCTCAGGCTACCACTCAAAACCTTTCCAAGTTTAACTAAAAGTCAAATAGGTCAAAACTCAATGGTCAAGGTCAAAGTCAACCCAGAAAGCTACCATGTCATGGCCAATAACTGGCCACGTCGTGGCTATCCCATGAGAAAATAGCTGCGATGAGCTCCGCCACCACGTTGTGGCAAGCATGCCACCATGTCGTGGTTCTTGTGCAAAAAAACTTAATGGATTAAGCCATTAATCCACAAAGTCGCATACTCATACCTTCCAGAAAGCTTCCTTATACTCATATGCATCATAAAAATCCTTGTTTTGAGGGCATGCATGTCCATTACTCAATGTAGGTCAAAATGAGAGAAATGATGTCAAAACCCCATACATGAGCGCAAAACTACATAACACTTCAGTGGAGCATCTAACCATCTTGGGACCTCAAGGATCACTAAAGTTACCAAATTTATTGGATTCATCCACTCAAACGAACATAAAAGTGAAATATGCATAAAAACCTAGATCTATAACATTGCATGAAGAAGATTGCATAAAAATGAACAACCTAATCGATATAATACCTTGTTCACTTAAATTTTGTTTATGATTGGATAAACTTTTTCAGTAAATTATGTTAGTTATGGTTTAAGGTTATTTTAAACATTTAATAAAAAGATTTTCCAAATAATCAATTAAAAAAAACATAATTTAATTATTCTTACCATTATTTATAATTTGTTATTAAGAGTTATCTATAAAACAAACAAATAAAAAGAGGAAGAATGACAATTTTGTGTTTTTAATATATGTACATTCAAAATCTTTTACAAATCAAATAAAATTTTATAAAAAAATGGATGTATAATTTCCATTGTAAATCGTATCAAACACAAAAGATTTAAAACACTTCTATTTAAAAATTCTCTTGTACCTCCTTGGTATAATAAATCCCTGAAATAAACAATCAATAGATATTCAATAATATGAAAAATAATTGCATATAAAGAAAAAGGTACACCATGCGTTTATGGGTGTGTTTGACAAAAGTAGCTGTTAGCTGGAAGCGGGTAGCGGGTAGCTGGTAGCGGGTAGCGGAAAGCTATAACTTTTATTTGTTATATGAGTGTTTGACAAAAGTAGCTGGAAGCTTTTGAAATATATAAAATTACATAAAAGGACAATTGATTAAAAATAAATAAATATATAAATATATTTTAAGGGTAATTATGAAAAATGATTTCAAAAGCTCAGTAATATTTTGTTAAACGCTACATGAAGTAGCTTTTAGATTTGGAGCGTTTTGTTTAAACTAAAAGCTAAAAGTTTTTTGTTTAAACTAGAGCGTTTTGTTTAAACGAGTGCTCGCAAACATACAAGTAAGTATACAGTGAATAATTGAAACATAATAACCACACAAAATCACTAAGTCGAGAGCACTCGTTTTTAGTCATAACAACAAAGAACAAGATTATAAAAAAAAATATATTCACACCTAAACATTTCAAATAAAAAAATTATAAAAGCCAAAATTTCATATATGCCCTAATAAATGATTATATACAAAGAATAGCAATGTACTTTTCATTTTTCCTTATAATAGGATTATACTTTCTCAATTTTAGTTATATTTCTTAATTCCATGTTTTTATAGAAGCAACCGTTTAAGATAAAAAATTCAAAGAATTCTTATAAGAAATATGTTCATCTACTCATAAAGCAGCCTTCTGCGAGTTTGAAAATCCACCAGGTCATTCTTGTATCTCTTGTGGTTAACAGGAGAGCACTCCATACTTAATTAAACCCTAGCTGAACACGAACAATTTCAAAAGGTGAACTGTATACACATTTAAAAAAAAACTATACTGAAAATAAATTATTTATTTGATAATAAATTATTTATTTGATCCATACACAAGAATATACATTATTTAACAAAGATTGTTCAACTTATACGTACATTAACAAACATAATAAAATAAATTGGTTCATGTATGAGCTAATCATAGTTAACCTCGTGTAATAGTAATGGATTTCCTAAGTTCAAACTTTCTGTGCGTGGATTCAATAAAATTTGCAGCTTCCGCATCCACATTAGTGTCTACGTCGTCCTCATTTTGTATGAACCCATACTTCTGCTTACGATCATAATAGTTTGTGACTCTAACATTTGCTTGAGGTTGGGGTGAGAGTCTCTCGAAGCCATCACCCATAAAGTAGATGTTAGAATATGGAGGCGTGTCTAGTAACTTGTGTGGTGTTTCTTTATGGTTCTTCTTTGAGGATTCATGATGGTGGTGGTGATGTGCAGTTGCACTGTGGGTCTTCGACATCCTTGATGTTAATTTTAGCTACAAATGTTTGGTTGATGGTTTAGATTAATTTTAGTTGATGTCAAAACAAATATTTATATATGAGTTTGCACATGTTTGTTTGGTAAGAAGGGAATAAAAAGTCATGGAATCAGATTCTCATTTCATTTAGCTTTATCTGGATTTTGGAGTGGATAGGTTGGATATTATAACACTTACATTAATTTGTCCAGGGTCCTTTTGTTGAGTAGGCAACTGATTTCCTTGACCATTGTCGAGGGTATAAATGTATAATATGGTCATGTTTTGCGACTGCGAACCTTGAATCAATATAAAGCATGGATGCTTTGATTTTCTTTGAGTATGTAATCAGGGAGCATATAAAGTCTATACATGAATTCTGTAAAAGCAATATATATATATATATATATATATATATATATATATATATATATATATATATATATATATATATATATATATATTAGTTTGTTAGGCATCTTTGACTTTTTTTCTAGAAGTAATGTATCCAAGTTATATGACAAACATTTAATTTTAGTTAGGTATACGTGAGTTATAATGCATATTCGATTCATGTTAATCCTACCTCTTATATTCCTTTTGAACGAAATAAAATAAAAAAAAAACGTAATATTTGATTAAGCTTATATTTCTGTTTTTCACGAGGGAAAATAACTAACAATGTTTCTTTTAGAAAAGAATCTTAATGGAACTTCTAATTCGGTTAGCAATATATGATACGTCTTTATCTATTTTCGTTCGAAGTTCGAACACTTTTGACCGTTGATTATTTTATTCAACAAAACAACCACTACATACGTGACGGCAGGACTCCATGCATTTCAATAACAACATATGATTTAATACAATTCTAAATATTGATTTATTTTTGTGTGAGCCATGTAAAATAGTTAAAAGACTTTTATTTCTTTTGCACTGTTTAAGTGAATATACTATATAGTGCCAAGGCGGTACACTGAAATTAATCATACACCAGTAATTTATAGCGACCAAAAATGTTAAAAATAAACTATGTGTTGATTATAATTCGAATACTAGTATTATTAAAATAAAACTTCGAATACAACAAGGAGGTTTTAATGAATTTAAAATTTTAATGATTCACCGGAAGAATTACAAGCTATAACGACGACGCAAGCAATAGCGGCAAAATTTGATCCACATGTTTAAGTGTCGCCGTTATAGCCGGGATCACCACTAAAACGTTTTAATCATGATCCGTGTGATCGATGATGGACGAACCCCAACCGTTGATTAAAAAATCTCGATCCATCGGCAATTAAAAGTCTTGATATCAATAGTGGTGATTCCCGTCGCCGCTAATACCCCAAAAATGATGGGAAATATTCTCTCCATTTTGACCAATTTGTCAATGCTAATACAGGGTCGTCGCCGGTAGAGGCTTCTCCCTTTAGATTGTCGTTTCCAGGTTTTCCCCATTACACAACTGTGATGTTTTTTTCTCTGACACCTCTAACGATTCCTTCGATTTTCCAACTTCTTTTACCGTTGATTGAAAGGTGTTGCCAGCCGCAACCCACACCAACCGTCAACCACCAGTATCTTCAGCCACCTGCATTTTGTCTCCGACAAGTCTTTTGCTACCGACGATTGCCCCTACTAGCATCGCCTCTTGCTGACGTGCATCACCACCATGATCAAATGCCACCCCCACTTGCCTTGCCTCCTACATCGCTCAATAATAACCACCAACGTCGACTACCATCACCACCATACCACCACCTACACCCCTCAGGTTTATTTTTTTTTGGTAATTTAGCTCCTGGTTGTTATTAATATGCTTAATTGATAAATGCTTAATGATTTGTTAAGGACTTAATTGATAAGTGCTTAATAATCTTTGAAAGTGCATAATATTCTTGGAAAATGTTCGATGAAGATTGGTACAAATTTAATGTGTTCATATGCTTGGAATGTGCTAATTGATTTGTTAAGGACTTAATTCATAAATACTTAATTGTTAAGGTCTTTATGATGTTATTATGTGTTTTTTTATGATGTTATTATGTGTTTGATGCTATTAGATATGTTTGAAAGTGCTTAATATGTTTAAAAAAAATGCTTAATGAAGACATGCTATTGATTTAATGTATTAATATGCTTGGAAAGTGTTAAATGATTTGTTAAGGACTTAATTAATAAGTACTTAATAGTTATGGACTTAATAATGTTATATGTGTTTGATGTTATTATATATGTTTGGCAAATGCTTAATTGAGACCTGCTACTAATTTAATGTGTTAATAAGCTTAGAAATGGATAAATGATTTTTTAAGGACTTAATTGATACGTACTTAATTGTTAATGAGTTAATTATAGGATGCTATAATTAACAAATAAAAAAACATAATAATTAAAGTAGACAAAAATTTCACAAATCGTCTTTAAGCTTTTTTGTTTTTCCCTAAAATAGTCAATATGAAACATTTTTTTGCATGGATGGTCCCTATAAAGCAAACCTTTTCACACAAATGGTCTGTACCATTGATGTCCGTTAGATGAATTCGTTAAATTGAAAGAATGTTGAATAAGGACCATTTCTGTCATTTTGTGAGACTTGCCTAAGGACCATTTGTAAAATTTTATACAATGACACTTTGTGAAATTTTATATAAATCTATTAAATCTTGTACTAGTTACCATAAATCAAATACAAAGGCAAAAACATAGAAAATGTAACACTTATATAAATAAAAAATTAAAACATATAAATTTTAATCATCATGAAAATATATTTTGTTTAATATATAAATATTTTTTGTTGTCTAGACGTTGCTAAAATATTCAAACTATAATACTTCATTAATATTTTCGTTGTTTATTTTTTATCTACGCAAATTTAAAGTATAAAAACATCATTTTATTACTTTTTAATTTTTACATGTTGTAACTTTTAAGATTTATCTTCATTTATCTTATACAAATATTTTTTTTTATGAAAACATTATGATATGTTATTATAAAAAAAATATATGTTATTAGAGAAATAATAGTATGCTGCTATTTTCTTCTAAAAATATAAGTATGCAGTTTTGAGTTAAAGATAAAATATCTTTCGGTTTTGGTTCATAATATAAGTACGGTAAATTTTATATTGGTTTGATAAAATTTTATAATTTAATTTTAAAAAAGTAATTAGTTTTATCGAATTTTGAATATATTTCTTAATAAGACATAAAATTTTCAAAGCAAAATTAAAAAACATCTGTTAGCTAATAATTAACTATGATGCTACACATTCTAAGACGATTAATCATATGAATAATATGATATTAGTTCAATTTAATTTTATTTAATGAAAAATAAAAATATTTTATATATTTAAATTGTTTGTATTTTTGTACAAATGATCAAATAAATTCATTATTATAAAAAATGATATGTTATTATTTAAGAAACACAAACCTTTTAAATATATAAAATATTTTTATTTTCCATTAAATAAAATGATTTATACAGAATTAATGACATGTTATTCATATGGTTTATTATTTTAGCATGTGTAACAATGTAGTTAATTATTAGCTAATAGATGTTTTTAATTTTGTTTTGAAAAGTTTATATCTTTCTTAAGGAATATGTTCCAAATTTGATAAAACTAAATATGTTTCCAACATTAAATATCAAAACTTTATATCGCACAAATATAAAATTTACCGTACTTATATTATGAAAGCAAAATTGAAATATATTTTTATTTTTATTAAAAAGTGCATATTTATATTTTTAAATAAAATAGCAACATACTATTATTTCTATAATAACATATTTTTTTATAATAACATATCATATTTTTTCATAAAATTAAATATATTTGTATAAGATAAATGAAGATAAATATTAAAAATTACGTCATGTAAAAATTAAAAAGTAATAAAATGATGTTTTTATGCTTTAAACCTTTTTAGATAAAAAAACAGACATATTTAATGGTGTATTGTAGTTTAAATATTTTAGATAGAGTTTAGACAATAAAAATTATATATATATAGATATATATATATATATATATATATATATATATATATATATATATATTGTGGAAGAGTTAGCAACAATTATCTTTGTAGACTTCAGACTTTTACCACATATGTTGTTGAATTGGCACTTTTGGCCGCTGCTCTGATCTTGCTCTTCTCGACGCTTCCCACCACTCCAATTTTGTCGCATCAAAAATGCTCTAAACAGAAAAAATGTATCCACCTCCTCTTTCAACATCGACGAACACCTTCTTCCTCTACCAATATCTGGCCATCAAACCTACCATTGCCTTTGGCCAACAGTAGCCCCGATCAAGTAGTGCCTCTCCGTCTTTGATTCCTCTAACTAATCTCTCCTCCTCAACCCCGATGGTACTTCTATGGACCCCAACTACTTCCCTGTCCTTCTACCACGTCCCCTCACCTCCCCCATTCGCTTCCCCACCGTCTTCTCTATCACACAATCGATTTGATTTTGCTTCTCTTCTAGTTAAACGATAAGAGATCGAAGGTTATTTAGTTTGATTTTGAAAAAAATTAGAGTGCTCGGATCTTAGCATCTTGGTTGCATTCCTAGATCAATCTCGACATCTTATTGCTCTTATCGACAGTGTATACACTACATGTGTTCCTATGCGACTCTTCATCCACTGCTTTACCTTGTAAGTGATTTTCTACCACTATTCAAATATCAATCTTATACACGCTAGATATATAATGAGATAAACATATGTAATTGATTTATTTAACAATTTGTATATATGATGTTTTATTATTATGATGATAGAAAATCACTCCTGACAGCACAATTGAATCCCATCTTCCTTTTAATCTTCTCTTATTTGCTTTTGGGGCTAAGGGTTAGTAGCGATTCTTTGTTTATGTATTTTTAGGGCTTTATATTAATTTGATGTTGCTTGCTTAACAAAATCGAATTTGTGGTGTTCGTTGTGTAATTTGCCTTCAGATAAATCTACG